TAACATTCCCACTAAGAAGGAAGGCTGGATGCCCTTCTTCCCACCAGGCTGCTCCCTGCCTCCACTCCTCTAGACTCTTGCAGCTGCAGGCAGAAGGATTTAGAGGACAGCAGAGTGCTTTCTGGCCCAAAGCATTTCCTTTATAACTCAGTGCCACCACTAGGAGAGAAAAGGGGGATGGGGAGGGTAAAGAGCATGGCTTGTGATGTTCTTGGCGGAGGTAGGAAGATAGAGGCCCCTAAAGGGCAGGTGGAGGAAGAACCAGACTCCCATTGAATGACTGTGGTGTTTGGGGTCTGTCCTTCTCCTTCCATGCTTGAAGGAAGAGATCATTTCTCTCATTTCCTGATGAGGACACTGGGCCCCAGAGGGGTCTAATGAGCTCCTTAGCCAGGGCACAGGGGCCGCCTGGGAATCTTGTTAGAGGGCCGACTCTGATTCACCAGGTTTGGGTGGCGCCTAAGAGTCTGCATTTCCCACAAGCTCCCAGCTGACGTCAATGCTGCCAAGCTGCAGGTCTGGCAGGGACCCCATCTTAGGAGTCAGGCCCTAAGAAGCAGCTAGAAAGTTATCTGTGCTCCTCTCTTGTAGTATGCTCCATGGCTCCAAGAGATTCACTTCCCCCTGGGTCGGTCAGAGCCCTTAGAGAAGACCAACTAAAATCCCCTGGACTCCTGCAGTTACATAATTCCAGAGTTTTACTCCCATAACTTCTGGGCAGAGAGGGTTTGCTTAGTCATCTCTGATCATGAGAACATGCTGTGGCATTGGGCTATGCAACCATGGCACTGCTGGGGATAGGATTTGTGCAAAGAAATGAGGGCCAACCAGAAGCTAAAAGCACAGAATTTCCAGAATTTGCTATAGCAAGGGAGTTTTCCATGATTACTAGACACTCAGAGGCAGGCAGGGGAGGGCTAAAGACTTGTAGTGGGCAAAAGAGAAGCTTCAGGTGTGCCTTGGCAGGAGGCTGTTAGCATGGACAAGGTAAACACAGGGTGACAATGGCCTGCCACAGCATTGTCTGTAGTACTTGGTAAAGTGCAGAGCCCTGGGCTGTGCTCCAGATGTGCTGGACCAGAGTCTCAGACATTCCGACACACTCTTACACACTCTCAGGGTTCAGGATCCCTGCCACAGTCTTAATACCGGGGCTGTTATGTTCCCAGGCTAGCTCACACCTGGGAGTTGGCCACCTTAAGTCAGATTTTCCCAAACATTGTTTATGTAAACACTTTCTTGGGGGAGGGGAAAGGAGAAAACTAGGGTGGTGCTTGTTAAAAACTCAGATTCTTAGCCTCACTATAGATCTGTCCCTGGGGGGAAGGGCCTGGGAATCTGCAAAGAATCGGACCACTCTCATGGTGGGTCCTAAGATGAAGGAGGTTGGAGGAGGAGCCCTAATTGCCTGATCCCAGCTGGGCTCCTGCAGAATGGGGTGGCATTACCAGCACACCACACCAGGGCTCTCTGGGTGGGTGTTTCTGAGTCAGGGACTGTGCTAGGTCTTCATTCCTGGGGCTTATTCAAGGGGTGGACTGGTTTCCAGTATTCTATCAGCTGGTGTTTTAGTGAAGAAGGTTATAGCATTTGAAGGGTTTGTTTTGTTTTAATCACGGCTTTATAATTACCTCTCCGTGGGTTGACAGCTGCTATTAGCATCACCTTGGGTTCTCCTTGAGAAATTTTACATCCAGAGAGTGAACCAGCACCTCTGGGGCTGGTGTCAGAAGCCATTAACTAAACAATAGCTTTCAAAAGTCACCAGGTTTTGTAAACACAGCCAATCCTGTCTCCTTCCAAAGGAGAAAAAAAAAAGGTAGATAAATAATTTTCACGGAGGCAATTTGTTTCCCAGGGTCTATATTTCCTTTCTATCTCATCCGCTGGCTTTCACGGCTTTGGGGCACTGGCAATAAAGTTGGTGCTGTCTCCAGAAGGGGTCTGCAGCTGCTCTTACAGGAGGATTGTCACCTGGCAGCCACTATGTGGGTTCATGGCAATGAGGAGCAGTTTTTTGAAAAAGGGTTTTTTTTTTTTTTCCTTTTTTTCTTTTTTTTTCTTAATGCAATTTGGTATGTGTGTATTGGGGTGGGGTGGAGTGGTTGGGATTTGTAGAGGGGACTTTTGTTTATAATTCTCTTAGAAATTTCACTTTTCCACCCAAGCTAGTTTAAGATGGATAGCTAAAATTATAACTGGACAATTTCCAACACGTAAACATTGGGAAAAAATGGAGACCTTCCCCCGCCCCCTTGACCAGGAAGGTTGTGATAATCTTTTTCCAGAGCTGCTCTCTGCCTCCTAGAATCATGTAGATGCAGCTTGCATCATGTGTGGTGATAACCGGCTGACCCAGGGTAGAGAGGCCTGTTTGACATGTCTTTGGAGCGAAATATGGCATGAGCTGTCTGCCTCACTTTTTTTTTTTTTTGTTCTTGTCAAAGGTATTGAAAAATACTTTGTTCATAATCTCAAGGGATTTTTTTTCAAAAAAAAATTATGGAAACAGTGTCAATAATTTTATTTTGAAAATGAGTGTTACATACAAAGAAAAAGGTGTCATTATTATTAACTCTAGCCTCATCCCAGCACTCTCTAGCAGACCTGTTCAGAAACCAAAGTAATTGCCAACCATCTATCTGACTGACAGATGATTCTGAGACTCCATGTGGGGATGAACGAGATTCAGAAGCTTAATTTGTTTTTTTTTTTTTTTTCCCATTTGGGATATTTGACACATGGACTTGTGATTACAAGCAAAATGTTTTAAAGTCTTTTCATTTTGAAAGACATGAAAACCTTCAAAGAAGGAAATCAGTTCTCACTGAGTTTGGCAGCTATTCTTAACTTTCTCTAAGGACCGATGTGCTGGTCTGGAATGAGGGGGAAATGATGCTGAGTTCTTAATCAGAATCTCAAAGGGTAGAGATGGGCCCCCCACCCCCCCAGGAATCCTTTTGATGGAATCAGAAAATTGTGTTTTGTTTTTTTTCCCCCTGGGGCAGATGTGTTTGCTATGGGCAGAGATGGGGGGAAAAAGAAGAAAACAAAAGCAAAAGGGGCTAGTGGGATTTTGAACTCAGTTTCCCAAGATGGCTCAAAAAGGTGCTTTAGAAAAGACTGGTGTGGCCCATGTCTTGCAGGTGGCAGGAGAAAGTGTTATTATCACTGCTGCACAGATGAAGAGACAGGCCCCGAGAAGCCAGGACAGAGAGCAGGGTCTTGGAGGTGTCAGGACTCTGCACCCTGTGTCCTGTCCCAGTGATTAGCTGTAGCTCCCAAGAGTGAGCCTTGCCTTGACCACACCCTCATCTCTTCCTCTTCCTCCTCTAACACTTCTGTCTGGGTGTTTCTTCCCACTGAGGTTTGTCCAGGAGCATTAACTGGGCCTTGCTTTTGCTGTCATTTTTTGTCACTTCAACCAAAACCAGTTGCCATCTCCGGTGTCAGATATCAAGGGTAACCAGAATGACAGACAGCATTCAGCACCCAGGTGGCCCGATCAGTAGGTGGCCACAGTCACTTGACGAGGGGCCCATAGACCACTGGCGAAGGGACTTTCTGAAATCCACGAGTGTAATCAAGCTGGCAGAGTGCAGGGGCCCTCCATAAAATTGAATTAGAGGACTGAGTGAATTAACTGTTTGCTCCTCTTCGTGAGCAATGCATCTTTAATTACATTTCATAAAAACGTCTGGATGGATTGATGGAACTTTATTTAAACTTTAGGTAGGCACAGGGAGTAAACGATAGTGCAATATAACATGTTCTGTTAATATAGGTTCAGAACACATTTACTTTATGGCAGTTCAACAGAATCTTTGATGTGGGGCTACTTAAAAATATATTACCTTCCCCAAGATTTCCTTTGGAAGACAGAGTGGGTGCTTGGCAGCTTGCAGGCAGTCAACCGGATGATCAATTGACAAACATGTCATCACTTACAATTCACTGTACTGGCTCCCCTGAGACATGCAAAAACACTGGTTTATTTTAGAAAAAGAATATATTTCTCCAAATCCCTTTCATTCACATTGTAGAATTTATGAGGCAAGTCTTGTCAAACATAAGCTCTTCACAATGAAAGAAAAGTCTCTTTGGTCTGTTTGCCTTGAATTTTCTATCTACATGGATTATTTTAGGTTCTGGATCGGTATGCGACATGAGGAAAGAAAATAGATGCTGCTTATAGTAAACAACGGCGCAGACCCAAGCCGCGGAGAGAGGTTATATTTCATCTTGAGGATTGCATTTATACTTGCAAAAAAAACTATCTCTGTTCTGCCAGAATATTATATTTGCCTCCCCGCCACCCCCATGAATCCTTTTGATGGAATCAGAAAATTGTGTTTTCCTCCTGGGGCAGATCTGTTTGCTAAGTTACTAATGTGTGAGATAAAGGCTGTGCTAAGCACCTCCCTCCTTACAGCTCTGGGGTCCCCGGAGGTATAAAGGAGGAAGGCTGTAACCCCCAGAAAGGAGTTGGCCCAAATAAGGAAACTGGTTTGTGGAGGTTCCTCCTTTATACCCAGTGTTTCTTCTTAGTTTCTAACTCTATGAAGAAAAAAGTGTAGACTCATGAATCCTTGATGGGTTGGGTGCATTGGCTTAATTAATAAGCAAAGAAAAACTGCCTTCCCTTTTCTCTTGAGTGAAGGAAGTGGATTGGTCTAGCAAGGATAAGGTGGAGAGAGAGAGGCAGGGAAGAGTGGCCCAGCTGAGAGGCTATGGTATTGAGATCATCCCTCACAACCCACCAGCACTTTGCTCTCAGAGGCAGAACCATAGACCTGGATTTGTGGAAAGGCCTCGCCTCCAAACTGAGCTGTTGACACAAGACTATTTTGCTGTGGTGGCCTTTGTTTCTTTAGTACAAATTCTGTTTCACATGGAACTCAAGCTAGGTGAAGTTAGCATGGTGGCCCAAACCCCACATCTTTGTCCCATCTGCTCCTGGGCCAGCTTAGCACTGCTTTACCTTGAACTTTCTCCCCCAGCTCCAGATCCTTGGCCTTGGCAACTTCGTCTGTCTGTCCTGGGAGCAGCTGCCTTGGAATGCCCATAGCCTTTGTGCTACTGAACAACACAATGGTAACACCAAGTCATTGTCACTGCTGCCTGGACCTGGTAGTGGCTGGAGCCTCTCATGACATCACACAGAGGGACCTAGGGTAGGAACCTAGCACTGTCCTGATACATGAAGTTTCTCAGTAAATGAAGAAATCCTCCAGGGGGATAAGGAAGTGTCACAGGCTGCTCCGTGGTTGACAACAGGAACTGGAAGCTGCTGTCCCCTTGTCTGCTACCTGCAACATGGCAGGGGTGAGTGTTTGCTGCTGCTTACCAGCCTGGGGGGGAGGGTGATGGCAGGTCTCAGGAGCCTTCTGCCATGCACAGGCATGGAGGGCAGATGTAGTTCACTCTAGATCCCTGCAGGGAGTTCTCTTTGATGTTGATCCCTCTATAATGTGACATTGGCTCCTGGCTGTCCACTTCTATCTCTTACCAATTTGGTGGGGGACACTCAAGCCAGCCTGGACTTGTACCACACAGACCTTTAAGGAGGGAGGTCTGGAGGTCAGGTGGCTCCCCTCCCCTCCCCCTAGGCTGATCTGGCTCCATTTCATGTTCTAGTTCCAGAAATTAGGCTTTTTATTGTCCCTGTGGTTATACCCCACACTGTACCCCTGTTCATCTACTGTGTCTGTTCAGTCCCTGCAGCTGGATTTCTGCCTAGTTTCTTAAGACCTCCAGGAATCCTGTTCTAACTCTTTGCACAGGGCAGGGCACACTTTCTGACCAGTGTTCTCAGAAGCCACCTACCTGTGGGCCAGGTCTCATGGGCCACCCATACTGCTTCCTGCTTGCTCAGCTGGGGCCCAGCTCGCCCAGGACCCGCCTTTGTTTTGACCTCCTTTGACTGCCCAATCATTTGGGGACAGTGCCCTGATCCAGAGGAGGCAAATTTCCTTAACCGGTTTCATTTGCAGGCTCTTACCCCACTCTACCCATTGTCTGCAGCCCAGGCAGTTCCCAGGTGTCTACCCAACCGGAGTTGTGGCTCCACTGGTCCAGCTGTGGTTTGAGCATTGTTCTGAGATAAGTGTAGCCACACTAGCAGATGTGAAAAAATGTGTACAGACAGTTTCAATAGACAGGTGGGTGTGGCCCTTTTGGTACTTTAATCAAGTGTTCTTTAGGTGTCTTTGAAGAGAGAAGCTCCATCACCTTGTTCATTAATAAATGGACAAGTCAGGTGAGATCCTGAGCCCTGAGGGAGGAAGCTGGAGTTCCTGGCACCCACTGTAACATGTTCTTGAGCCCACGATCTATTTCAACAAGAAAGGATTTGAGCTCTATAATTTTCCCAAACTTTAAAATCAGCTTTGCAGCAGAACTGGAAGATTGCCCCTTAGCTGTACCCGTGGGTGAGAATTCTTGTCTTTTGACAACCCACTGAGCCGGCATTGAATCACCCAATTACTGCAAATTCTTTTCTAAATAGAAAGCACTCCACAGCCTCCGGTGGAAACATTCCAAGATCTGCAGCAAATATCTAGTTCATTGGCAGAAGTAGTTTTTGGCATGAAGGACCATTCTTTGCTTTAATTTCAGCTCTAGTAGAAGGTTTACAGATGACCTGGGAATAAACTTGGCCAAGAAGGTTCAGGGGGAGATGGGCAGGAGGTGACCCACACCATCTCGTCAGCTCCAGCGCCCACCGGATGTGGAGACTAGGCTGCCTTGTGTGGGAGGCCTGGTTGTGTCCACTTGGTCCAAGAATCATCCCACGGGCTTGTGTAGGGCTGCACGCATGTTTGGTACACATTGAGGCCAAGGACAGCATGGCCCTGGCTGGGAGCTGGAAGCTTTGAATTGATAGCATTGAAGCTGAGCTCTGGCAGGAGGGAGGATGGGTGGGGCTGTGTGTTCTAATGCACCAGCCTTCTCATGTCAGGGGCAATTAGCTTCTAAACAAAGCTCTTAATGGAGACTTCCATGCTTTGCCAGCACTCAACCTTACAAAAACAAAAACCAAAACCAAATCTTTCCCACCAATTATACAACTACTAATGCTGTAGGCAGCTGGGGTGATGGAATAAATGAGAGCAACAAAATGTAAGGGAAAAAGCATATGTCTGTACCAATTGTTGCTTTTTTTCCTGGCAAGACACTTGGGGGAACTCCTCTCCACATTTGGTTTTCTTATCTGTTTAACTGGAGAATGCTATTTATTTTGTTCGCTGTTGTGGGCATTAAATGATTTCACGATTGTCATGGGTTACCAGGTAAAACACCTGGCCTGCTAAGCATGTAATAAATCTATATCCTCCCTAAATTAAGGCCAGCACTTGAAGGGTTAAAAAGTGTCATTGTGGGGTTTAAAGTTTTGGTTAATCTTTGAACCCCCAAGGCAAAGCAGGATCTGTGATTGACAATAGCCATCGTATAAAGCATCTTCAAAGCCTTTCCAAGATACCTCATTTGGAGCGCATCTGCCCACCATCTGTGGGGCAGTGTGGATGCATGGCTGTCACATTGTGTCTCTGGGGTGATTGTTGTCAGCGTGACAGTCAGGACGCGTCCTTCTGCTGGGGCTGGGTCTCTGGCTGGGGTTTGTCCTGGATGTGGCTGGTGCGGGCCTCTGGCTGCAGCCCATGGCCCAGCACACAGAGCTCTGGGGGTGATGCACACCTGCTGCTGCCACCCTGAGGTTCTGGGGCACAGGGGCTGCTCCAAGTCGATGCATTCAGCTTGGGGCTGTCCTCACTGCTGCTGCTGAGAGAAGGACAAGAACAGATCAGACAGTCCTCCACTGTTCCTTCTGGCTCCCTCCTCCGCACTACTCTGTCCCTTCCCATCCTCACACCAGTGGGCCCACCCTTGATGCCAGGCCTCTACCTCTCGGTTGGGCTTATGGGCTTGCCTGCCTGGTCTGGAATTGGGGAAGCAGCTCCCAGGGCCTCAGCTGACAGGTTGAGTCCTGTTCCTTCCCCTGATGCCCAGGATCCTGCTGCTAGAAACACAGCAACTCCCTCAGGGGCTCTGGAGCTGTGCCTTTGTTTTGTTTTTGAGTCTTGAGCACTCCTTGTTAATAAAGGCTTGGGCTCAGCTAGTGGAATTAAAAACAACAACAATAACAGCAAAGAAAAAGCCTGCTTTGCGCAGCTGCCACCCTTTTCCTGAATGGAATAAAATGGAAACTCCTTGGCCTGCCTTGCCCAGCATTTGGCTAGAGCAGAGCTTCCCAGCTGCTGAGTGACAGTGCCAAGGGGGGCTATGCATGGGAAAGGGACCCCACATGGTCTCCAGTCTGACTGTGCATACTTCTGGAGAGCAGAATGGAGGATGTCACAAAGCATGGAGCAAGCCTAGGTCGAAGGGACCAGCTCCAAAAGTCATACTGGCTATCTATCTGAGGTAGGCTGGCCCAAGGAGTCCTGGTGGAGGTTGGAGTGTGGCTGCCTAGGTTCAAGTCCTGGCTTTTCCACTTACTGACCATGTGTCCTGCAGCTGGTTAATGGATCCTTCTGAGAGAAATTGTAATAATCTCATCAGGCGCTCATGGGTATCAATGTTGGATGTAAAACTCTCAGCATAGAAATGGCACATACGTGTGTAATAAATGGGTAGCTGTCTATGGTGCTACTTTGTAAAATTAATAGGAAGTCACATCTGGAAAGAACTCCAGGGACCACCTTATCATGCTTCTCGTGGGCACCTGAGGCTCAGAGAGGTGGGGCCTAGGTCAGAGCTCTCAACCAGTTACTTGGAGACCTGGACAAGACTTCTGGTCCCCACCTACAGACCCGAGGGCCCTTCTTTCTGCCACTGATAGCATGTTCTTGATTTTTCTGTGAGCTTTATAAGGAAGTGTTCTCAGCTCTGCATCTGACACCAAACCAGTGGAGACAAGTTTGCAACTGGATCTGAACAAGATCAAGAGAGAAGGAGTAGGAAGGGTGTGGATGCGATGGACCCACATTCTTGGTTTCAGGCAGTGAGAAACCCACTGTGTGCCTTAAAGCAGTCTGCGTCTAGCTCCATCACAGGTCTTTTCAGGTGTTCAGGGCCCAGTGTGATTTTGCCACCTACCTTACTTCTTTTCTCTGGGGCTGCTTGGGGAATGGGAAGGCATAAGCAGAGTGCAGTTCATCCCTGATGGGCCTTTGCTGCCCCCCACCCCCTACCCCTGTCCCCAGGGGGTCTGGCAGGAAGAGGAAACACATGCACAGAGGAAAGTCCAGGCCATACCACTCTGGAGGCTGACATGGAGCCTGACAAACAATTTGGTCTTGAACTCGTTTTTTAGCCCCATCCAGGTTCTGTGTCTATGAAATTCAGTTCAGGAAACTGATTTCCCTGGTTGTTACCCAGTGGCTGGGATTCTATCTCTTCTTGGCACCTCTAGGAAGGCAGGTTGCCCAGCTGTTGCCCTGCTAACCACTGGGCTACCTGAGACAGGGGACTGGGAGGGGGCTGCAGAGAGCTCCTGTCTCATCAGTTCAGGCCAGAAAAAGATGAAAAGTATTGCATTTAGGGGAGAAAGTCTGGACCTTTTTTTGAGGTGCACACAGTACCCCAGCATTCTGAGATCTAGAGACTGGTATCTCACTAGGAGATTCAGCTCAGGCCTAACAATTAAAGCTCAGCCATTGAAACCTCTGAGAACTGTTCCTGTTCCCCGGGGCCCAAAGGTCAAGAGGATATAGCGTGCGGTGACAGGAAGAGAATCAAATCCAAGTACAGGCCAGTTGATCCTGTAAGCCTGCCCAGACTGCCAGACGCAGTGGGCGTGACAGGTCCCTGCAAGCCTCTGCTTGAGAAAGAGCCTGCTCTGAGCAGTCTCTGGCTCTCAGCATCCGCTTGTTGCTCAATCTTGGGGAAACCATGCCTTGGTCCCTGCTCTTGTTTTCTCACATGCAGAATGGCAGAAAATAAGCTTGTCTTCAACAGAGAGGCAAAGGCTGGCCTGTTTCTGCTAACAGACACCAAATTCATACCTTGGTACAGGATGGGATAGGGGAATGAGCGTATTTTCATATGCACAATTTGGAATGGCTTGGAGGTGTGGTCATACCAAGTGACCCTCTATGTGACCTTGAACAGGTTACTTCTTCAGGCTATGCACACACCAAGTATTGGGATTCAAGACATAAAACAACTTTTAGGCCGCCCTGTTCTGGGGAGAAACCTGAGAGAAAGGTATTATTTTCTTCTTGAACAATTTTATGTTCTTCAACAATTTTATAGCTCCTGCTGTTTTAAAATGTTAGTGTTTTTAATTAATGCCATTTTATTGTCCCTGTTCTCTCAAGCTCTTCCCCTGAAGGGCACAGTTTTAAAAATCTAATAACTGAATAAGGAGCTAGTGTGAGGAATAATGCATTAACATTTATAGAGGTTCTTAGATGAAAGCCACTCTGCTGTAGGAAGCTCATTTTAGATTTAAGAAAAGAGCAATGTTACATTAAGATTCTTGCAAAAATAATCAATATTTCATTTCTTTCAAGTGGCTGGGGGAGTTTATATAACTGTTATAATGTGCAACTTTCTTGAGATAATATCTTTATTTAAAATTGACTGCCGAATACTTGGAAAAAAATTACCATTATGCTGGACAGATTGTGAAGCTGGAAACATGCGTCACTCAGGCAGAAATTAACTGCTGATTTACACAATTGTGGGCAATGCAGCGAGATAGCAAGGACTGGTGTTGGTTGAACTTTGTCTGATCTGATATTAAGATACACTGAGGGAGTTCCTTTTTAACAGTCCTCAGATATTCTGTGATTGCTTATGCAAAGGCTGTACTGATTCATGTTCCCTTGCAGCTGTGTGCCCAGGCTGTCTTCAGGCTGGGCCAGTGACATGCAACTCACTTTTCCATGCTGAGAAAGGCACACTTAGAGCTCAGTCTACCCAGGACAGGAACAGCAGCCCTTCACCTGGATTCTGGTGCCTATGTAGGATTTTGTTCTTAATCTACAAGGCTCTGAAGTTGGTGGAGAAGTGGAGTCAGGTAATCAAGGGCCTGGAAAACCAGAAATTTATATCCCATACCTCTAGGACAGGCCATTCTGGAGTTGTGGACTGAGGATTCCTGGGGACTCACCAGACACTTTCAAGGGAACTCGTGGGTTAAAC